GGGCGTGCTGTAATCCCAGCATTTGGGAGGCTGAGGCAGGAGGATAGCTGTGAGTTCGAGACCAACCTGGGCTACACAGTGAGTTCCAGGGCAGTCTGAACGACATAGTAGTGAGACCCTGTCTCAAAAAAACCAAAAAAAAAAAAAATCATTTAGTAGGGAAAAGAAGGAAGGAGAGAAACCCCTTTCCCACAAAATAGGGGGTGAGGAAAGTGGGAGGAGGCAACAGACAAAAATTTGAAATCTAAATTTGTAAAAATAAATAAATAAATAAATTTGTAGAGAAGTTGACTCACAAAATGACTCATAAGCATTTCCTGGATATTTTGTCCAAAAAAATCTCTGACTAAAGTGGAAATGTGTTTGTTTAAAATACCTCATTCTACTATTATGATTAATGTCTTAGTGACAAATACTTGCTCATGGGGCATACGGACAAGGATAACAACCTCATACACATTGATTTAAGTATCAAAAACTTTAAGTAACTTAGAAGGTAATCATTATGGCATTATAGGAGGCAAAAATAAAAACCTTTACACTGATAAACAAAACAATCTGTTAGTTTTAACCAAAGTTAAATGAGATGTAACTAAGCTACTGCATTTTGATTTCTGTTTTGCTAGTGTTAAGAAGGAATTGTAAAGTTCTTTCTACTTCTAATTTGTAAAATTCCAGCTGTTGAAGCACAGGAACTAACCACCAATTTCAGCAAGGTCACTAATAGTTTTAACTGACTAATCATGTGGAAATATTGGAAAACTGAAGACAAAAGCAAGTCGGCTGAGAAAATAAATGGAGATGTTCACTTTAAATCAAAATATTATTAATAAGTACAGTTGGCCCTCCCACAAATTCAACAAAACTCAGAATGAATATATCTGAAAAAAATTTCAATATACTGAACATGTACAGGTTTTTTTCCCTTGTCATCATTTCCTTAAACAATACAACGTAAACTATTTATATAGTATATCCATTGCATTAGGTTTTATAAATAATTTAGAAAAAAAGTAACTCAGAGATGATTTAAACTGTATGTGGGGATGTATGAAGGATGTCTACAAATATAAAACCTAAGGGACGTGGGTATCTGAAGATTCTGGTTGGGGAAAGGTCCTTAAACCAATACCTGAACTTATCAAGCAAGGGATGACTACATAAAGCTGATATGCCTTTTTAACTTGGTATGGGAATAACTAGAACCTTTATTAGATATGACTTTCAATGACATGCCATTTTTAGAGTCCCATGGAAATCCTAGTTTCTATCAAAACCCAATTAACAAGGTCAAGTCCTTGGGTTCAATTCCCAGCATCAAAAATAAGCAAACAAACTCAAAATAAAAGGGGCTGGGGATGCAGCTCAATACGAAGGCACTGGATTAAATCCCTGTACCACCGAAATTTTTAAAAGTTACATGATAAAAAAAGTTTTACATGGAAACATCTAAGTTACTAAAAAAATTATTCATATAATATAATAAAGCAGGGCAAACTAAACAAAAACATAATTAGGGTTGTCAACAGGATCATAAGTTAAAAGACAGAATATATCATGCTAAGATATTACATATTATATATGTTCTCCCAAACTTAATCAATACATCGAGCATCTATATGTTAAATTCTATGCTATGCAACTGCATATGAACATATATAACACAAAAACATCAGCCCATAGACCTTATGAAGTAAGACTAGGGCACTGGGTCTATATCTAGGTCTACACAATCCTCTGTATATCCTGTTGTTTCCTGCCCTCTACTATCTACTATCACACCTTTCTCTGCATCTGTCTGTCTCTCTGACTTTCTCTGTGTGTCTCTGTATGAGTCTCTCTCTTTCAGTACTGGGGACTGAACCCAGGGTCTTTCAACTGAGCCATACCTCCAGCCCTTTTTAAATTTTGAGATAAGAGTCTTACTAAGTCAGCCAGGTAGGGCTCAAACTTGCCATCCTTCTGCCTCAGCCGCTTAGAGTGCTGGGGTTACAGGTGTGCACCACTACACCCAGTTCATATTCATCTCATTTTACCTTTATAAGCTTTTTATTCACTCTACTATTATATGCCAAGCACTGAGCTAAGATCAGGGCTATAAAGACAATGAAAAAGAACATTCCTTTTTATAAAAGGGTTATACAAACAACCAAAACTGACTAAAAACATCATAACAGAAATGAACACCAAGTACTAAAAAGACAGAATAACCTAACACCTGACTGCAGAGCTCAAAAGTTTGTCTTAAAATGTTGCAATTTTGTCAAGTGGACAAAGGACAAAGAGAACCTTTTTAAGTAAGTAGTAGAATACAGAAAGAAATTGGCTAGAGCAAAACTAAAAAAGATATTCTCTACTAGCTTTTGGATGTTATTCTATAGGCAATGGGAAGCTGATTAAATCTTTTTTTTTTTTTTGGTACCGGGGATTAAACTTGGGTCCTTGTGCTTGAGAGGCAGGCGGCGGAACCACTGAACTAAATCCCGGGCCCCTCTGATTAAATCTTTAAAGTAGGAGAATAGAGAGTAACATAATCAGATTGCTTGTTTAAAACAGAAAACAGAAAAAAAAAAAAAAAAGAAAGGGCTGGAGATGTAGCTCAGTGTAAAGGACTGGGGGAAAAAAGGAAGAAAAGATTAAAGAACTTCATAACCAATAAGAGGTAAAAGGAAATGAAAAGCCTATGTTGGGAATTTAGGTAAGAAAAAAATATACAGTTGAATGAACAAAGTACAGGGGTGCAATTGAAAAAGAGTTGCTTTGACTTTTTTTGCAGTACTTGAAAGGCATATTTAGATAGCAGTCCAAAGTTTAGGGTGGGGGAGGAGGCTGCAGTAGGGTTAGGAGTCATCTATTCAGCATGATAGCTTAGTACCTCTAGTTCTTCCCAACCCTTGTACTTTTTACTGCTGCTCCTCCTACACACACACACACACACACACACACACACACACACACACACGCACACACACACGCACACACACACACAAATTTACTACGGCTATCCAAATTTCTACTAATTGTTTTATCAACTGAAAGATTTATGAAAGATTTATGTAGGGGGCCGGCGATTTAGCTCAGTGGTTCCCTGGCCTGCCTTGCAAGCACAAGGACCCGAGTTCAATCCCCGGAACAAAAAAAAAATTTATGTAATTGTTTTAACATGTTATCACAAAATCTCTTAGTGTGAGATGGAGGGAGGAGGGAGTGGGGAACGGGGTAGAAAATTATTAAGATGTGCTGTGGGCCACTGTATTCACTTCTTACATGGCAGCCCACTCACACTGTAGGGTGGACTTCTCTTCCTACTTTTTTTTTTGGTAGCGGGGATTGAACTTGGGACCTTGTGCTGAGAGGCAGGCAGTGGAACCACTGAGCTAAATCCTTGGCCCTCTTCCTACTTTTAATTGGCCCAAGCTCTCTCTACAGAGCCTGTTTCTTTTCCTACCTTTAACAAAACTTTGCTACCATTTGCATTTGTCTTGACCAATTATTTGCTCTGGACAGAAAGAACCTAGAAACCTCTTCCAGAAGAAGACTCCAGGAAAAAAAAAAAATGTGGGGCTGAATATCTAGCTCAGCAGCACAGAACCTATCTCACAAGCACAAGGTCCTAAATTCAATTCCCGGTACAAAAAAAAAAAAAAGTGTTATGCATATGTACCAACTCTCCAGGGGAAATGTAATCATTATGCACTGCAAACATGTACCAATAACAATAAAAATTTAGTAAAAAGAAAATTTCAAATTAAAATATAAAAATAAAACAATGTAGATTAAAAAATCTCTTTAGTGCTCACTTTCAGGTATGACAGAATACTGATAATAAGGATTTCAAGTCCAAAAAAAATCAGATTTTGTTATTTCTTCTGTGTCTTACTACTTCTACTAAATTACAAATTTTGACAAACTATATGTCTTAAATTAAAGCTCTTTTTTTTTATTGGTACCGGGGATTGAACTCTGGTCCTTGAGCTTGCAAGGCAGGCCACCGAACCGCTAAGCTAAATCCCCAGCCCTAAAGCTCTTAATAATACTAAAAAAAGGCAAAAAAAAAAAAAAAAGCTGAGACAGTATAAACCAAAAGGCTAAATTAAATATCACTGTTTTCTAAATGTGTTTCTTTTAAAATCAGAATATACTTAGCACACACTACATCATAAATTCCTTTATAAAAAAAAAAAAAAAAAAAAAAAAAAAAAGCTGAGACAGTATAAACCAAAAGGCTAAATTAAATATCACTGTTTTCTAAATGTGTTTCTTTTAAAATCAGAATATACTTAGCACACACTACATCATAAATTCCTTTATAATCCCTGTATTGTCTAAGCTGCAATGAGGAATATAATGGCATTTGGGGAGGGCAGAGGAAGCAGAATAATAACCCTTTATATATCATCAATTCTTACTGCTATGGAAAAGCAAGATATAGAACAGAAAGCATTAAACAATGAGAATCACTATCTTAACCCACCATTGCTACCATCATCACCATCATCTGAAAAGGAACACTATGAAACTGATAAGTAACGGTGAAGTGGGGAGGAAAAAGAAAGCACACACATATTACCTCGCAGCAAATTTAAAAAGATATGTTCAGGATGCTCAGCCTGGTTTCAAAGCATTTTAAAAAAGCATATTTTTTAAAGCATTAAAAAAAATAAAATGACATTTTCTATCATCACAAAGAAAACATAACTCATTTACGATGGAATAATTTCAAGGATGTGTGCACATTTTTCTCACAATCACACCTTTGAAATACAATCAATTTCAAAACAAATTACCTGGTGCCAGGGATTCAGCTCAGTTGGTACCATGCCTGCTGTGCAAGCACAAGGTCCTAAGTTTGATTCCCATTACCAAAAAACCCACAAAAACCAAAAAATCTGGTGTTTTTGGTCAAACTGTTACATACTGTCATTGTTATTCAGATATATAACATAATTACCAAAGCAAACACAAATAGTAAAAGATCTCCACAGCTTCCTGATTCTTACCTGTTCACTCTCCTAGGACACTTGTCTGGTTTAATGTCCACCTCATAGAGGTAGACATCAATCTTTGGGATTTCAACTTGAAAACAGTTAGCCAACAGTTTAATGGGTTTGCCCATGGTGCCATAGCCAGGTCTTCTGGGCACCATGAGTAGGGGCTGGGCCCCAACAGGTCCTGCCACAGAGAAGGAAAAAAAAGACTGTTACAAGCTGCATCTGATAATCTTGTGAACCAGAGTACATTAGAATTATAAGTATAGCTAATAATGGTTAAAGCTTAGTGTGGAATGTGGTATCATTCCTAATAATTCAACTTCCTTCACATCAATTTTTTCTTTTTGTAAAAAACAAACAAGTGCTGGGCATGGCGGCCCATATCTGTAATCCCAGCACTCAGGTGGCTGAGAAAGGAGGATCACTTCAAGTTGGAGACCAGTGTAGCTATATGGCAAGTTCAAGGCCAGCCTGAACTACAAACTGAGACCCTGTCTCAAAAAAACAAAGAAAAACAAAGAAAAAACACACACCAAAAACAAGCAAGCAACTTTGTTCTGGAAGGGTAGAGAAAAGGGGTGAAGGAACCTTGATGAGCATAAGCACAAATCAGACTCAAACTGTATTAAGTAAACACAAAGTAAATGAAAAGAAAAGAAAGAAAAAAAGAGCAAAGCTTGACAAAACAAAAGCAATATATAATCATATAATTAAAAGATCAAAAAGCACAAAATTGGGCCGGGGATCTAGCTTAGTGGTGCCCCTGACTGCCTTGGAAGCACAACAATCTGAGTTCAATCCCAGCACAAAATTATTTGAAAAGATATATAAAATTGGTAAGTCCCAGATAACACTTTTTTTTTTCTTCCCAGTACTTAGGATCAAACCCAGGACTTCCACAGCCTAGGCAAGCACTATACAACTGTTGCCTACATCCACAAACTTTTTTATTTTTTAATTTTGCAAAAACATCTTACTAAATTGTCCAGGATGTCCTCAAATTTGCTATCTTCCTGCCTCAGTCTCCTGAGAAGCAGGGAATATGGGTGGGTGCCACCAGGTCTAGAGAGGTAACATTGATTTTTTTTTTTAAAGGAGTAAAAGGACTTAACTAACCAATATCAGAAGTGGGAAAAAAAAGTGATATCTGCTGGAGATCCTTAAGACATAATATTGTACTAATAAATTTGACAATATGGTGAAACAAATTCCTAGAGAAATGTACTGACAAACAAAAGTATATAAATCCTACAAAATACTCTTATTAGTGGGAATGTAAAATGCTACAGTCACTTTGGAAAATGGTGTGGTGGTTCCCCAAAAACTTAAAACAGGGGCTGGAGATTTAGCTCAGTGCCACTGCACCCACCTTGCAAGCACAAAGTCCTCAGTTCAATCCTCAGTACCAAAAAAAAAAAAAAAGATATTTGATCCTCTGTACAAAAAGAAAAAAACAGAGGTATTGGAGATTGATCTGCCCTGAGCTATAACCCTTGCCCTTCTTATTTATTTTTTTGGTACTGAAGTTCAAACTCAGGATCTTGTACTTACGAGGCAGGCACGGTGCCACTGTGCTAGATTACTAGCCCCTTATTTTTCATTCTGAGACAGGGTCTTGCTGAACTGCTCAGCTGGGCTCAACCTTGTGATCCTCCTGCATTAGCCTCCCAGGGAGCTGGGATTATAGGTGTGCACCACCATGCTCAGCTTTTTAAAATTCTTGACTGAATGTATTTTTTATTTTTAATAAATTTTAATGCTTAAAACATTACAGCTTTATTCAAAGTTCAAATAATAAATTCAGTTATTAAATAACATGAATAAATTAAAATTATATTTTTAAAATTCTTAAAAATAAAACATTATTGTGTTATACACCTATAAGCCCAACACACCACTCTGGGAAGTTGAGGCAGGAAGATCGTTAAATTTGAGCCCAGCTTAACTTGGCAATCCAAAAAAAAAAAAAAAAAAAAAAAAAAAAAAAAAAAAAAAAGGAGAAGATGTAGCTCAGTATGATGGCCCTGAGTTTAATCCCTAGGACACACACACAAAAGAAATAAATTAAAAACCTGAAAGGCTTATAACTCTTTGAAAACTATTAATAACTATTTCTACACATATAACAATAAACAAACAAAACCCCTGAAGATCCAGATGGCTTTACTAGAAAATTATACCAAACATTCAAGGAAAAATGTAATTCCAATCCTACACAAACCCTTCCAGAGAACAGAAAAAAAGTAAACATCCCCCAATTCATGATGCCAGAAAATACTCTGACACAGTACTAACACCTGGCAAAGCATTATGAAAAAGAAAATTCACAGGCCAATCTCATTCATGAACACACAAACAATATTCCTCACAAAATTTTAAATTAAATCCAGCAATATATCAAAAGCATATATTGGGAATAAAAGTTTTATTCAATGTGCATGAAAGGACATTAAAAGATTGCCTGAAATATTTGTTTTTAAATTTGCTTTCATATACCTCTAAAAAAATGTCTTCCAACAATAGAATTTTTCCTACTATCTTAACGGAAAGATTTTTCCTATTTTACAAGTAGGTAACAGTATAGAAATTCTAGACTAGGCTGTATGTTTGGTTCTGTCACACATATAACTCTTTGACAATCGCCAAATACTTATGTCCCTACATCTGTTTCCTGATCTACACAATGGGGATAATAACTGGCTTGCCTTTTTTTTTTTTTTTTTTTTTTTTTTTTTTTTTTTTTTTCTTTGTGTGTTTTGTTGTTTTTTTTTTGAGACAGGGTCTCACTATGTAGTTGAGACTGACCTGGAGCTCACTCTGTAGCCCGCGCTGGTCTCGAACTCACAGTGATCCTCCTGCCTCAGCCTCCCAAGTGCTGGGATTATAGGCGTGCACCACCATGCCTGGCCTAAGTGCTTTATATATATCATCCCATTTAATCTTGTTTTTGTTTGTTTTTTTTTTTTTGGCACCGAGGACTGAACTCAGGTGCTTGTGCTTTTGAGGCAGGAACCACTGAGCTAAATGAAATGTTTGCTAGAACTAGAGTAACAGCAACTAGAGGAGTGATGAAGTAAAAAATTATTTAGAAAGCAAAACAGGAGTTATTAATGTATTAAATTCAGGGAAAGAGATAAAAGAACTATAAAGCTTTTTTGGCCTGGGTAACTGAAAGATTGGAAGTATCACTTACTGAGCTAGGATTCAGGGATAGCAATCAGTTTGGAGAAGAAATCAAATGGATTTTTAGGACATGTTAAGTTTGAGGTGTCAGGTAGAAAGATGAACCTGGAGTTCACAGGAAAGGTCTAGTTATAGATGTAAATGTGGGTATTCTCAGCACACAAGTAATATTAAAAACCAATCAATAAGAGGAGATCACCCAGACAGAGGAAAGCATCAAAAGACTACTAAGTCCTGCAGCACCCCAAGATGTTTAGTGATTAAGGAGAGGAGGAGAAAATAACAAAGGAACCAGTCAAGTTAATAACCAACAAGGTTGGAAGAGGACCTGGAGAGTAGTACCTGAAAGATGAGGTGGAAAAACACTCTTTCAAGAAGAAAACTTAGTAAGATTCTGATGAAATGTCAAATAAAATGAAGATTTAGGAACTATATGATTTAGCAAAATTTCTGCTGGCTTTGATTAAAAACAATTTCATTGGAATAGCAGGGTTAAAATTCCTATTGGAGTAAATTCTAGAAGAACAGCTATTCAAAAAACTAGAAGAAAGCATTTTGAATGTCTTTAGCATAAATGATAAATGTTTGTGAGGAGACAGATATTTTAACGTAATTTTCACATTACATGATATACAAGTGTATGGAAACATCATATGGTCCTCACAAATATATGCAATTTTTAAATGTTTTTATGTAGCAGATAAAAAAATAAATTAAACCCTGGATTAGCTTAGTGGTGCTGCTGCCTGCAAGGTCCCAAGTTCAAGCCCCAGTACCAAAAAAATAAATAAAAATTTAAAGTAAATTTAAATTTTAAAAAATAGCCAGAATCTGATCAAGTCCTTAGGTCTACTGGCAGTTCATAGAAAATTCAGATGAATAAGCATTAAATTTCATAGTGAAGCTAAAACCAGCAAAACCCAGACAGGGAGAAACTCTAAAGAGATAACCATAAATTGTAGGGTGCGGGAGAGGAGAAATTTACAGATTAAAATATATCAATCTTAACTTACTTAAAAGATATTAATCAATCATAATGTGTAAAACTTATCTGGATCCTGACAAAAAATTAAAGAAGATCCCTAGAATTAATCTAGAGGACTGGGGTAGGTGGGAGATTATGTTAAAGTAGATGTGAAATAAGTTTGCTATAAAGACGTATTGTTATTATTATCCTGTTATTATACTATGTCTATAGTTTGTTTTGGATTTTTTTGGCACCGGGGATCGAACTC